GGTGTAGCAATGAGCATGTGCTTTATTTATTTATTCTGTGTCTGTTTGTTTGTGTATATTTTAGGTAAAGGAAAGGATACGGATTTTGTGGAATGGCAGTGTTATTTTACAAAACAAATTCTACGTGCAGCATAGTTAAAACAACTGTATCAGTAATTGCTAAAAGAGTGCATAGCAATGCAAGCTGTCTGTCAGTGCTTGAAGAATGCCTTTGTAGGGTTGTTGCTCTTGTTCGTTGTTGCCTTTGAGGTTTTTTTCTTTTTTTTTCTTCATAGAGGAAAATTTCAGTTACAAGTATAAGTTCAAGACTTTTGGATACTGTTCTTAGTGTCTGATTTCTAAGTGAAAGAACAACCAGTATTCCCCATTCCACTGTCCTTTTTTAATGTTTGTCTTTCCCCGAGCTGCTCTGTGTTGCTGCTCCAGCAGTGGTGACAGTAAGGTGACGCTGCCAGTAGATTTCTCTACTGCTGGGGTGCTGAGTCAGCACCAACACCTTAGTCGCAAGGGCAGAGTTGGTATTAAAAAGGTCAGTTGGGAAAACGTTTTTCTTTTGATTTTCCTTTGCCTTGAGGCAGTGGCTCTGAATAGTACTAACCCCCTTTTCTTCAGACACAACTAATTTTCAGCCTCTTTCCTTCCTGCAGGCTTTGATGCAAAATGACAAAATATAGTTTGGGTGAATGTACATTTCTTGTGGGGTGTAAGTAACCATTTACACTTGGAAATGTCACCATGTACTCTGGAACTAAAGTTTGCACCTCTGTGTGAAGCTTAGTGCAAGACCAGTGCATCAAAGGTGTTTTGAATGTGGTGTAGTGATACTTAAGTCTTATAATCTTGAGGGTAAACTGCAAACTTTTGTTCTATTCAAATGAGATACCCTCTTTGAAGTTTTGCCCTTTTATACATTTGTATACTGGAAGGTCTGGCCTTCATTTAAATGATCCTTGGCTTGTGTCTGTGTGTGTGTGTGTATTTAACCAATTAGAAAAAAATCAGTGGGAAAACTTTGAATAAGCAAATATTTTTGGTAAGATTCAAGTGATGAAGAGGGCTTAATATTCTCTTTGGAGTCCCATAGGAGAAAGTGGTTTGAAACACATGCAAAGGAATGCACATTTTCAAAACTGTTATTTGTTTCTCCTGTTTCTCCTCCTCTCCACGTAAGAGGTACAGCAGCAAATTTAATGAAACTAATAAAAGTATTCAGCTGAAAGTGTTAACCTTTCTATGGCCCAATTAGTTCATTGCTTGTACTTTAATGTCGATGTGGATATTTTCTTTTTCCTTAAGGCAGAACAATGAGCCACTTTGTGCTGCAGGTTTCCCCCTCCTTGCCCGTGTTGTACATTTCTTCCTATCTGTTCTAAGGGGAGCAGAGACAGTGGAGAGGGCTGAGCAGGGACTCGTGAGCACCCTGAGGGGCTGGGCAGGCTGGTGGAGCAGCCTCTCCACAGCAAGTCAAGTGACTGTGACTCTAAAAGACCCATCATTTCTTCTCCTTTCTTCTTCCTTCTCCTCTGGCTCATGTTCTCCTTTCTGCTTCATCGGTGATGCTCTGTACCCAAAGGAGAAGCAACCGTAGCAGTTGAGAGTGGTCTTAAAACAAAATAATTAAATCTAAATAAATTCATAGAATCAGTGGGAGAAGTAACCGTTGATGGGCTCAGCTTTAGCATACAGTGGAGTCATACTTTATCCCAAAGGAGGAAATAGGTCTAGCAAGTGTCTTCCTGTACAGACTGAATGGGAAGCAACAAGGCTTTTTTTTTTTTTTTTTTTTCCTTCTGTTAAGGCCCTCGGCTTTCTCAGTGGCTGTCCTGTTAGCAGGTTATGTGCAGCATCCAGGGTGGCCCTCTGAGCTAAAGGCCCCTGGGGTTTCTCTGCAGGATGAGCATCATCCTGCTGGGGGATGTGGAGGGGACCCGTTCCCACGGAGGAGCAGGGTCCCTCGGTGCGGCGGGGCAATGTGCCGCATGGGTTTTTGTGTTGTTTTCTCCCCCTTGCATGTGTTTGCAGCTCTCGCTCCCCCCTCTCACTCCTCTGCTTTCATGAGACAGGATGGCAGAGACACTGCGGGCTTTCTTCAAACGTGGAGGATGACTTAAATGCTTGTGATCACTTACCCGGTTCCTAGAGGCTTTGGTCAGATGTTGAATGCAACCTGGGGCTGTGTTGTTTGCCAGCCTGTTTCCTGTTTGTCCCTCTTTCCTGGAGGTCTTGCTTTCTTTGGGGGAAAGGGCGGAAGAAGTCTCCATCAGCACAGCCCCCTGCGAGGGGAGTTTGGTGCAAACCGGGAAGGTTTGCAGTCCTAAAGACAGCCTGAAATAGGGTATCTGTGCTGGTCTGTTTGTCTGATTCCTCGAGTTTCATAGGTGCTATGGGGAGAAAAAAAAATCCATATCCTCAGTGGTGCATTTATTAAAAAAAAAAAAAAAGGAAAGAAAAAATGTCTGCAAGAGAAATCTCTCAATATGTTCCTGCCCGGAGGCTTTCTGCCATGGGTTTTCCCACAGGAAGGAGTGATTTGGCCCAGTATTCTTATTGTTTCTATATCCTATTGCAAATAGAAAGTTATGCTCTTGAAAGCAGTGTGCTGCTCATGCAGTTGTCTTTGTTTCAGTGGGGCATTTTTCTTTAATGCAAGAGAATGGAAAATACATATGTGAATAAAAGCACACAATAATAATATTTAACTTTTGTGAAAATTAAGGTTTCGGTCTTCCCACTGCTTCCCAATTAGGAAGTATTAAATGTATTGAAAGCTGTTTTAAAAACAAGATCTGTGACTGTACATCTTTCTTTGCATTAGCAGGAAGATGTTTTACATTCAGAAATAAAATGGCTCTTGGTTCACAGAAGTTGTGAAAGGCTGTAGTAGTATAATACATAGTTTTTCTTCTGAAGGAAGAACAGAGAGCAAGTGTGCAGGTGTTTCAAAAGGAGGTAGGTTCGTTAATACATGCCTATGTGCCTGCCTCTTCTCTTTTTGTTGAAAACTTCACATTTTCACTATTGCTAAATGCAGTTCTAGGAGTTTAGTCCCTAGTTCTCTGGGAAGGTACTCAGCAATTTTAAAGTTACCTTAGTTGACACAATAGGTTGATGTTTTTCAGGACGTAACCGGTATTAACATTAATGCTGTATGTGTTAGTTGAAACAGGAAAGAACAGGTCTACATAGGAAGAAAGAGTATTTTTTGTTGTTGTTTGTTTATTATTATCATTTTAACATACTGGAATACTTATTTGCACTATTTTACAGATATCCCCAAAATAATTTAAGCTGGTCGTATTTTTTTCATCGTACTAAGGAGGTTACAGCAAGCAACTTAAAAGGCTTAGACCAGTCTCAAAAATAACTCTTTTCTGCTTACTCTTTTCAAAATTAAATCAGCTATTACATTAGTGTTTAAAAAAAAATGCTTGTGAAAAATGTTCTTAAATCAAATGGACCTTTTATAAAAACCTAAGCACCCCCACCCGTCTGCCCCAAAACCTCCCATCCTAACAGGAGAAAATACGGAAAGAGGGATGGTTGGGTCTTCTTGCATCGAGAGATCTCTATCATAGGGGAAACTAGTATTCTGCCTCACAAGAAGGTACAGAAAATGACTAGAGAAGAATTGTCTTAAATCGATCATAATAGAAAAAAAAAAGTATTTTTGGCCCTTTTCGGGGAAGTCGGTTCAAACTGCTTAAGGAGGTGGTAATGTGGAATGACTAGAGAAGAATTGTCTTAAATCAATCATAATAGAAAAAAAAAAAGTCTTTTTGGCCCTTTTCGGGGAAGTCAGTTCAGACTGCTTAAGGAGGTGGTAATGTGCAGAGCATTAAGCCAGGGGGCTTTGTAAGGTCCCAGGTTTCATCCCTAGCCTGTGCAGACTCGCTCTGTCAAGGCCCCAGTGCTGTTCCTAGGGAGGCCGGTCGTTGCATCCGGGAGCTGATTCTGCGCTCTGGGTGAAATGAGGAACTGTTTGTCACCAGAGA